CTTTATTATACCCATAGGTTACTCTAGGTCGTTGGCATCATTAGTACACATTGTTCATTGTGTTACTAGACAGGTTACAGGCTTAGCAACATTATGCAGCTTGTTCCTGTTACATACTAAGTTGCAATATGCAATGTTAGGAGCCTTGTGTAGCTCTYAAGAAAGTCGATTGTATAAAGTTACTGTTATGTGGGCAGATTTAGGTTCAGTGTAACACTGTGGTTTTCTAACCAGAAAGTCCCTATGTTCCCAGGAGCTGTGTGCCTGAGATGAAGGTCAAAGCTGATAAGACTGTGACACAGAGCTTCCTTGTGAAGGACACCCTAGAGCAGCCAGGCATCTCGCCTCTTTGCACAGAAGTTTCCTAGCAGCCAGGCATTCTGCGTCTTTGCAYAGAAACTTCCTAGCCAACAAGCATGCCACAGTCACGAAGTTTATCACAGATCCCTATCCCAAACACAAAACCCCTACACAGAATGGTCAAAGCAATCTAGACCAAGAAGAGTAAAGCAAGAGGCTTTATACTGCTCGATTTTAGAGTAACACGGAGCTCTAAGAACCAGAACAGCATGGTACCTGCGTGAAGTCAGGCACACTGATGGAATCCAGAAACAAATCCATGCATTCATGGCCAGTGGGGATTTGACCAAGGTGTCAAGAGCACACAGTAGGGAAAGGACAGCTCTTCATCCAGTGGTGTTGGGAAAGCTGGAAGCCCACGTGCAGAGGCAAGATGGCCCTTTGCAGACCATACACACATCAACTCAAAGTGAATCAGAAACATAAGCCCTGAGCCTAAACTACTAAAACTTAAGGGCAAAGCTTCTTGATTTTGATTTGGGTAATGATTTTTTTTTTTTTTTTTGGATGTGATTCTAAAAGAAAAAGTAGACCAATGAGATTACATCAAACCAAAAGCCTGTGTGACAAAGGAAACACTCCACAGAGCAAGGAGGCAGCTCAGGGAATGGGAGAGAGATCTGTAATCCACGTGTCTGTCAAGGCGCTGATACCCAGACCCACAGGAACATGTCGAGTAGCCTGTCCTTTCCCTAGCATTTGTCCTTGGCACTCTGCTAGGTTCCACTGGCTGCCAGTGCAAGGAGCCTGGGGACACCGTGGTCCAGCTGCTGGGAGGCAGTCACTGCGGGCCTTCCGTGGCTCCAAGGGAAGTGGTTCTACAGATGAGTGGATGGCAACTTCCAGGGCACAGGGCAGGGAACTGGAGACTCAGACCAGGGTGTGCCAGGTTTCAGTTATGCAGGGTAAAACATTCTGGAGATCAGTGTACAACGTGGTGACTATAGCCAACAATCTGGTATTGTGTATTTGAAATTCACTAAGCAGATAGATCTTAAATGTTCACACACACACCATAACGGAGATTTTTTAAAATTAGTAATCATTTCACAGTATGGGCATGTAGAGCAAAATATGTTGTATATCTCAAATATATGCAATTTTTATCTTTCAAATTTACCTTAAGAAAATGGGGGAKATTAGTATTCTGACAAAAATCCCTAACACTCTACTGTTTGGCCACTCCCTACCCAACCCATAATCACACCGTCATAGCCCCCCAGGAGCTCGCCCCGTTCTTGAGCAGATGGGCCAGCCCCTTGGATCTCTGCTTCAAGGTCTGTGAATGTGCACACCAATAGTGGGAGGGTGAAATGCAACACAACAGGTGTGTGTACACCTGCCTGGCACTTGAGTGGACTGTCAGTGAGCTCTGGGCCCTTCTGAGGGGACACTGGCTGGCAGGTGAGATACTGAGGCAGACCTGGGCTCTGCCCAGGGAATGACACCAGCACTGAGATTCTAATGGTGTGGCACTTTCTAACCTGGCTGTGTGTCCTTGAGGAAGCTTGAATGCCACCCAGGTTGTGGGCCTKGGACTCCAGGCGGAGATCTTGGGTTCTCCAAAGGGAGGATGGTGACCCTCACGTATCCCTGGGTTTGGTAAGTAGCCCTGTCAGGATTTGCATTAGTGTTGTGTCTGAGCTGATCGGTTTCTGGATCATTTGAGGATTCATTTATTAAAGCTTGTTGACCTGCTGTTTACTTAACCAGGCACGTTTCTGTAGCAATTGCAAAAGCACATTCCAAACCTAGCCAATTTAAAACCCGATTAACTCTGCTTACTGACCACCCAGYTTCAGGGCCCCACAGTTGAGGGTGCAGCCTCTAACCCCTGGCAAATGCCACCCCCTGGCTTTCTGTGGCTAGGATACCTGGGGCTGCTCTGTACATGTTACCTGTGGAGAGGGCCAGAGGCAGGCAGCAGATTGGGGACCTGCCAGAGGGTCACCTGTTAGTTTCATCAGTTAGACCTGTTAATACTGCCCTTCCTCGTGAGTCGCTGAGCAGTGCCCCAGACTGCTTGCATCTTTGAAGTTACTGCTCTAAGTGAGGTCTGTGGGTGGCAGCAGCAGGAACCCAATCAGAACTGGCATTTTAACCAGATCTCTGGGCAGYGCACACTGCAAGTGGACAGAGGGCTGTGCCAGGCTCACCACAGCCCTGTGCAAACAAGCCAGTTGTTTAGAGCAGACGGGTACAGGGGTCATGCCATTCAAGTTTCTTGGTGTTCTTCATGGGTGCTAGTTGCATATGTTAAGGAGTTTTTGAATTGTGATTTCATTCATTTTATATATATATATATACACACACACATACACACACACATACATACATATAAAAATAACAAAGTTTACTGTTGTAGCCATTTTTTTAGATGTAAAATATTTTATTTGTAAATGGTGATCTTCTAAATCTGTGTCCACAAATTCCAAAACCCATAACACTCTGTATACTTAAAAAATTCWATTTTTGCCAACATCAGATACTATTATACATAACAGAAAACAACAAAAACCCGGTAGGACAAATACTGGTAGGATGTCAGAATTTTGTACAATAGAAGAAAAATATTCAAGAAACAGATTTCATACAGCTATTTATCAAGAGAAAAATATATACAATGGATTTAGTCTGTAAGATAAAAATACATCATGCCATTACATGACAGGTGAGGCCCGCAGCACTGGYGTGCACAGCTCAGCCCACGAGACTGTGTGCAGACGTCATCCACTATTGTAGCCATTCTTAAGTGTACAGTTCAGWGGCYTTAATATATTCAGTGATGAACRTGTAAAGAACCTTTTCATCTTCCAAACTGAAATCCATCCCCATTAAACATTAATCCCTCCCCCCTGCCCTTTGCACCCACGGTTCTACTCTCTATCCCAATGAATTGGATAATTTTAGGAAATTGTTTTAGAATTTTACTTTTACAATCCAGCATATACAATGTTATTATATTAAATATGATAAACCAAGTTCTTATAGAAGACTCAATCATGAGGGATTGAGGAGTGTCCAGGTGGTCCCAGGATCCTCTGCAGGCATTTCGGATCTTACGATGTTTGYCAGTGGATATGTACTTGTAAGGGTAAGGGGTGCTTTGCTAGATGTTGTAAGGGGTGCTTTATTAGTCTGGTGAGCAAGATGAGCATCCTAAATACCTGCAAAATCCTGTTTCCTTGGGATTGTTAAGAAAAGGTTGGAGGTGCTCCCCTGGGGGCAGAATTAACAGGAAAGGTTKGGTCCCTGTCACGTATTTCTCAGAGCACTTTCTACGGTGGAGAGGGAAGAAGGCCCTGCGATTCTGTRTGGCAGAGGCGTTCAACAACTAGGACACCCGGTGAAGTGTTCCAGGTMAGAGGCTGTTCTGATGACGGTGTTTCAAGAAAACCCTTTTTAAATTTAAAGCATTTTTAATGGGGTATTGGCAGTTCAGCCGTGGCTTTGGAACAAGTTAAGACTTGCTTTAAAACAGAAATGATTTAGTTTCTTGCTTCAATAAAAAGAGACTTTAGCCAATGACTAAGTATTTACTTGATAAGCTCATTCTAAAATTAATTACCACAGAACAGCACAGTGTCTGCTGGAGGTAAAGCCGACTGGCTCATTAATAGGCTGGTATGTGAGGGTTTTTGTTTTTAAAGCTAAGTATGTTATGTAAGTGTAGTTTTGGATTTGCTTCTCTTTTCTTAATATTAGGCTGTTAAAGGACTTCTCTCTGAGTTATTTGTCTTGTTGTGGGATTATTTTTAGTAAATTTATGCCTAAAAAGTCTGCAGTAATTTGAAAATCAAGCTCATTTTTATTATGTAACYATTTTTCTCAGAAGCCCCATCATTGAATCACAGGTCTGGGATTAGTGTGCAATTGATCATTTGAGTGATAGCATGTGTCAGCTGGATGTGACACTTCCGATTGTCACATAGAAGTGACAGCAGTGACACATGCTGATTGGAGTGAAAATACACTGGCAGGAGTATTTCGGTGTGAAAATGAGTTTGTTTCCCTGGAACACTGTGCCTCTCTTCTGTAGAGGGCCTTTTTCGTTAGTTGGCAATGTTTGGGGGTTTAGATTCTTTTATTTCAAAAAGGAAAACTCCTTGTACAGACTGGACTTGGATGACTCTGGTTACATTTTGCTGACTGATCAGGTGGCCCAGCCCTTTGGTGCTGATTCTCCTTTCGTTAGCAGAGGGAACCCTTGGGCTTCCTCCAGGAGAGAGCAGCTCTCCTCTTTGTCAACAAGAACAGCCCCGTCTCCTGCCCTTCAGTGGCCACAGACTGTAGAGAACAAAATCGGAACAGTAAGTGTGGATGATGAGGAGATTCCTGGCTCTGAATTATTAGCCTATTTAAAAATGTTCCACTAATCACTTCCTTGCTTGATTTGTCTTGAAGGTTTAGTTCTTTCTTCTGGCCGAGAATCGTCACCGTCTTGGGGGTGAGTTTCTCCTTTTACGCTTCTTGCTGCTCAGCTGCCCAACCCTGGCTTTTGGTCCTTTCCGGGTGCGGGGTTCATCAAGTTTTTCTTACATGGTGACATGGCTGTCATGGGGCTGCTTGCTAGCCAGGGACGGTGGAAAGGGCTGGGTCGTTCCTGCCTGGGGTTGATGAGGCTGCACCTGCACCCACAGGGACAGTCTCTGAGAACAGTGGGCAGGTCGGCACGCTGCTGCTCTCCCCCTGGAGGAAGCTGGAGTGGGAGCTGCTGCCAGGAGAAGCTGCAGGCTCCTTGGTGCGGCTCAGCCCCCAGCTCTGCTCAGCCCRCTGCTGTTTCTTTAGGTTGAAGTCCTGGCTTTCTTCTTCTAGCYCCCTTTTCCCTGGCTCATCACAGAGTGGGACCTGAGGTGACAATGTGAGTGATGGCCAAGAGCAGGGACCCTGGTCTCTGAGGGCTGACCGCCTTTCCCCTTTGCTGTCCATGTGACTGTGGTTCCTATCACTGTGCACCGTGTGACCGTGGCGGTGTATGCCTGTGTCAGCTTCTCTCCAGGGCGCGTCGCTCCTGATGCCCACAGGATCGTGGAGCCGGCTGGGTGTAGAGAGGTGTTCACTGTGACTGACACTCCCTGCACTCACTGTAAGAACTGGAAGACCATACATCCAGAATAGGAACCTGGCATGTCTCTTGTGCTTGCTGAGGGTGTGGCTCTTTACGTCTGAGTGACCCTGGGCCACCTGAGCTCTTTGTCCACCGTGGGCTGCCGGCTCCTCAAGTGTGTGGCAGCTCCCCCCTCAGTGCAGCTGCTCCCCTCTGTCTGCTGGGTTAGTGCTGGTCTTTCTTGAATGCCCTTTTCTCTGGTTACCACCTCTTCCTTCTGGATTTCTCAAGGAGGACAGAGCTGGGCTTGGGTGATGGTTCCTCACTGTGTAAATCAGATTAGAGAGCAAAGGTCACTCCTGACTGGGGTTGAGTTACCAACCGTGAATTGAGGCAGTGTTGGCCATCCCTGCCCTGGGGAGACTTCCTGATCTCCACTTGCACTCAGGAAGCGGGCGGCTCGGCCAGCTTTGGCTGGGGAGAGGGCACGTGAGTCTGGTTACGCAAGTTCAGGGTCATCTGAGCCGTCCTTATCTACTTCTGCTCTGCTGTGGTYTGCTGAAGTTCATGACCGTCTGGCTGTGCCTCCTGCTTTCTGAGGGAAGCAGAGCTCCCTGGCCCGTGGAGCCCTGCACATCACTGGTTGGGGGAAGGGAAGTCTTGATTTCTGTTCAGTTTCTGGTCCCCACTGGGGAGGTGGGGGCCAAGGGTCTGTGGCTTGGGCTGTGCCATGGGGCTGGCGTTGCCTGGGTGACAAAGATGAGCAGCAGGGGTGGCTCGCCAAGGCCCAGCCTCTTGCAGTCTGGAGGCTGGACGTCTGAGGCCCAGGTGCTGGCAGACCCCACTCCTCAGAGGCTCCGTTCYGCTCCTTTCTCCCCTCTGCCGTGGGTGCTCACAGTCCTGGCTGGTGGGTAGTCACTTTGATCTGCCTCTGTTTTAGGCGGCTTCTCCTGCACTCACCCCATCCTCTCCTGCATGTCCGTCCCTGTTATCTGCACTCCTCATAGGGACACCATCACATTCCGTTAAGGACCCCATTTCCAACTAAGGCCACATTCACAGGTGCGGGCATTAGGACTTGAATGGACCTTTTCTGGGGGTACAGTCCACCCCGTAACAGCGGGCACATAATAAACATCTCATTTTTGAACACGAGGTGGAGCTTCCCGGCATGCTGGCCCACCTTTAAGGGGAGAAGTGGAAGCCAGTCTGTGTGGGAMGACTGAGCAGCCACTGTGTCCCGGGTGCTGCTTCCCTGCCTGGGTTAAGGGTGAGGAGCCGTGATGCTGGGAGGCCCTCACTAAGGCCGGACTGTATCTGGCCATCCACAAAAGAGCCAGCTGCCTCAGGTGGTTTGTGGCAGGACCTGGGCTGTGAGGTGCTAGGGCAGGCAGAAGGTGGGAAGTAGAGCCCAGAGCTGGGCCTCGGCCTGTAGGTGAGACCAGGGAGAAGATGGGGGCTTCCTAGGAGTGGTGAGGATCAGTGACCGAGGCACAAGGAGCTTGGGCCCCACCAGGTATAGGTTATCTGCTGCCATAGCTTCATGGCTCCGTCACGCCCGTCACAAACGGTTCTTGAGCGTCCACATGTCTTGAGGATTGTGCTAGATGCCCAGAGTGGACATGCAGCCTGTGGCCCTTGCCTCAGAGAACTTGCTCACATGGACACTGCCTWCGTGCAGCCACTGACCACGTGTGACTGGAACACTGGGGACATGACCTTATCCAGTGGGGGCGTGGTCCTCACATGAGATGTACACCTGACTTAGAAATGTTAGTACCAAAAAGGCCAACTTGGTAGTTTTATTTATTTATTCTGTAGTGCTAGGCAAGTGCTCTGACACCACACCCCATTCCCAGCCCTATCTCTGGAGTTGTATGTGGACCAGATAGTAAAGTAGCAGTATTTTGGCTGTGTTGAATAAAAAGTAGTGGAATTAATGTCACCTATTAGATTCTAAAATGTGCTTTCAGAGAGCATTAAATTACAGGTGGGGCCTATTTTATATATTTTTTGGATGTGCTGGTCAGCCAGTGATGAACAAGAGGAACCAGAGGAACCACTTCATGCACATTGTCACATTGTCACATGTCAAAATGCTGGAGGTTTTTTTTTAAGTACTGGGGATTGAACCCAGGGCGCTGTACCACTGAGCTACACCCCCTGCCCAGTCCTTTTTTATTTTATTTTTTAGACAGGGGCTCACTGGTTCCCCAGGCTGACCTGGAACTCGAGATCCTCCTGCCTCAGCCTTCGAGTCACTGGGATGGCAGGTGCGTGCCACCGCGCCTGGCAGATTAGACGTGTCTGTGACAGTGAAGGGATCAGGAGGGACAGCGCTGGTGCGCTTTGTGCAGCCTCAGCCTGCCACTTCCCGTGGGCAAGCGGGCCACTGAGCAGCCCTGTGCGGGAAGAGCGAGCCAGAGTGGGTGCTGCCAGGGAGCTGGGAGCAGGCTGGGTCCTGGAGGGGGCCTGGGGAGAGCCCAGCATTTTGGCGAGGTCATGGCCACATGGAGGGGTAGCTGCAGAGGGTGGTTCTGGGGCACGGAMGACTGGGCTGGAGGGGCAGTGGTGGGGCACAGACCAGGCCAGAGGTGCTGCCCTTGGCCTCCAGGCAGGTCACGGTGGTGAGGAAGGTGAACACATAGAAGTTTGAGGAAGAGTTGATTCCCAGTCCTGGGACTGATTGGCCACGAGGAGGTGGGTCACCCCCTTGGCTCTCGTCCTGGTCTGGGGTGGGACTCAGGGTTGGATGCTGAGGGTGTGCACAGATTCACCTGGAAAGGACTGTCGGGGTGAGGAGGAGGCCAGGGGGCCTGGGGCCTCTGAGCCAGTTCTGAGTGCAGACGGTGGGGAGAGGCTGGTTTCGATGGCTGATGGCCGGATGGATGGTGCTGGCTGGATGTGCTGTGGGAGCCGACAGGTGAGTCACACTGAGGCAAGGCTGAGGTGGCAGGAGAATCACCTGCCTGGCGGTGATTGTCCAGCACTGTCCAGCACTGTCCAGCACTGTCCCCAGGGGTTCAGATTACCTGCCTGCGTGCCAGCTGCGCCTCTGTTTCAGAGGCCCTGGGTGGCGACTGCTGACTTTGGAGGCCAGTGCTCCTGCTGCAGAAGGCCTAGAAGGTGTCAGATTCCTGCAGATGCTGTGAGGAATTCCTCAGCTCTGAGGCCAAAGTCCCAGCCAGGTGTCAGCTGAAGGCTCTAGGGCAGGAGGGGTGTCCCAGGCCATTYCCACAGCCTTCAGGGGCTCCTCGGCTGGTGGCCACTCCAGTCTTGCTCCAGGGTATGTCTTTTCTCAGGACACATGTCATTGGATTTAGCGCCCACCGGGAGGTTCAGAAAGTGCTCCTCTGGATTCTAACTTTAATTGCCTCTATAAGGACAGCTTTTCCAAATTGGATTCCATTCCCAGGTTCTGTGGACACATCTTTTGGGATCATTAGGCAGCCGGTGCAGAAAGGTTGAAGGCTATGAGAATTTCCTCTAATGGGAAAAAAATATTAAGAATAAAAAAGAATAAGAGAAGGTCACTTCAAACCCAGGAAGAACTCGAAATTTAAACTCCTCGCTGCCTTCTCGGCCCCCCATGAGAGACGCCCCCGCGCTCTCCAAGAGCCACCCCTTTCCTGGCACTGGAAGCCTGTCCCGGCGGCCTCGAGCCTGGAAGGAACATCCGGTCTGCAGGTCACCTTGCCCTGAAGCCCACAGCTGGCCAGGGAGCTTGCAGCAGGGGATTTCCGTCATGGGACCTGCGTTTGGAAAGAACCGGCCGTCGGCCTGGACGGCGGGGCTGAAAGGCACCCTGGATGGAGAAGTGGCCAGCTGGGGTCAAAGCGATGCTTTCAGTTTTCTAAAAAGCCCCTTCTCTTGCTGTTCCTCCTCCCCTTGGACACATGACCAGGGTGGTACACTGGACTATCCAYGTCCTTGTCCTAGGGAAGGACCCATGGGCCCTAGGCTGTCCTTGATACCATGCCTGTCTCTGTGCCGAGGGAACGGGGCCTCAGAGGGCTGCCTCGATGGTGGAGCAGGGGGCCTGTCCTAAGAAACGAACAGGTCACTCCCAGAGTGTGGGTCAGGCCGGCTTCACCAGACAGACAGACCAGTGGGGTGTGTGATCACGGGCAGGACTTTGTTCTGTCTGGGCCGAGTTCTTCTCCTGGAGCTTCACCTGCACCCAGGGCCTGCAGTGGGCTGGATGCGGCCACCGTGTTCTGGAGGTCCCAGCTTTCCGCAGAGTCCCAGTGTGTTAGTCCCCTCTACAAAATGCCATCACAGCAACATCCAGGCACCACCGGACCAAACCACTGGCCCCATGGCCTGACCGAGTTGCCGTGACCTGTCATGGGTGTCAGAGGTGGCCAGCTGGCCGTTCCTCTAGAGTGCTCAGTGGCCCCAGAAAGGCCCTCACCCCCTGGCCTCTCACTCTCCTCCCCCTGGGGGCAGYGACTGTGCCCCACAAGGGCCCAGGAAGCCCAGCTGAGGGAAGGTGTCACCCTTTCTTCCTGTGACACTAAGAGCCTTAACCATGTCTTCGTGGCCAGCGTTCCTGGGGGTGTGGCTCCCTTGGACCGTTCCTGTCAGGTGGTTGGAGCACAGCTGCCGTGGGACGGGGTACCCTCACCCGTGGACGTGGGGACGTGGGGACGTGGGGCCCGGGCTGTGAACATCAGTCGCAGCTCCTCAGACCCTGAGATGGGACCACGGGGACCTTCCTGGCAGCATCTGTGGATGGAAACTGAGAACGTTGGGGACAGGCTTTGTT